GCTAGCTGTTTATATTTTTTTGTGCAGCTATAAAACAGCAAATATCAAGAACTATTAACATTTGTTTAGCTTTCGCAATTTCTACTTGTTAGTCTGTTTAATTTTCTTCACACCCCCGTTCCCCCCACCTGCCTCATTTACCAGGAAGGCGCAGATCAAGCACCGAGTTTTGGGACCCACAGCACCAGGGCATCTAAAAGGAGATTCTTTTTCTTTATCTGATCGAAAACCAAAAAACCCCAAAGGCCTTGTGGGGAGAAAAAAAAAATCCCTCCATGTCCTTCCTTAAGTTGTATTCCTCTGCCAGGAGGAAAGGCAGAGTAATATCTTCAGTGCTGGGACCCCCTGAAGGTCTTAATTGGCTCTGCAGCCACCACAAAAACCACAAAAAGATGTAGCACTAAGGGGGCAAAGGTATTTCAGAACATTTACTTCTCCTTTCTCCACAAGCTGTTCCCTGCAGCTACTTATCGTGCAAGTGGTCAACTAGCCAGCTCTTCAGCGCAGAACTTTAGTGGGTGAGGCTAGGGCCTCCACCTCACATCGATCCTTAGCTGCTTGTCCCCAGTCTTGACCACCATCTACTGAGCCCCGGGAAAGGGCTTTGCAAAGGTATTCACAGGGTGAGGGTGACTGGGCAACTGCAGTGACAGTGCTGGGCATATGGCATTCGGGTGAGCAGTCACAGAAAGCTGGGCAAAGCGATAAAGTAAGATGGGTAGGATGGACCTCCCTTCAAACACACACCCTCTCTCACTCCTGCCGAGGCTCACTGGTCACACGCTGCTCTTGCAAAGGACAATCAGATCGATGCTTGTAGGGTAAGGGAAAAATATCAGGCTTTTCTGCCCTCCCGCCATTAGGATGGATAACTGAATGCATGCCTGATGGCGGGCACCTGGAGTAGGGTGTGGGCCTATGTAGATGGGATTCACCTGGGCTAAGACTGGGCTTTTTTTTTTTGATTGATTGATTGATTGATTTATACAAGCACTGGGTAGTCAGAAGCGCGGGAGTGTGAGAGAATTCACCAGAGCCAGAGCGGGGAGCAGGGCAGGCAGACTGACAAAATACACTGTTGAGGGGAGCAGCGGGAGGCAGGAGAGGTCTGTGCGCCATGTGGGACCCTCGCCCGGTGGCCGGGGATCGAACCAGTGCTGCAAAGGCTGCGGGCAGCTTCGCAACCCAGCACTCAACCGCTGCGCCACCAGAGGAGGCCCAAGACTGGGCTTTTAGGGCGGTGTCACAGAGATGTCAGCTAAGCAGAGAATCCTGAGAAGAAGAGCAGAAAAGCAGAACCGCGAGAAGAACCACGAAAAGGCCACGAGAGAAGGCCGGAGAGCCCAGATAGAGTGAAGACTTGCTGGGGGCTGGGAGGTCTGCCAGCCTCCCAGCCCCCTAGCATCCCTGCCTGCTGTGTACCTGGTAAAACGCAATAAAAGCCTGAAAAACCACTGAAGGCTCCAGGATTCCTCCTTTACCTGGTCTGCTGGATCAGAAAACCTGCCCTGTGTCTTCCTGCCCTTACAATGCTTCACTACTTACTTAAAGGATGAGATTTTGAGTAAGTGGTGGGAAGAGAAGAGGGTGGCAGGGAGTGGGGAGGATTGGGGCAGGAGGTGAGGGAAGGCCCAGGCAGGCTTCAGCAACCTCCTGATGGCCAACACCAGGAGAACAAATCCGCTGCGGGCTGTTAAATAATCCCGAGCGGGCGGACTGCTTTCCTGCTGAACCTTCCAATGGGTCTTTTCTGTCTTTCAAAAAACTATGACTTGCTCATACCATGATCCTCTCAGATCATGTCCCCTGCACTGTACTATTCTGGTTTCCACATCTACAAACCTCTATCATGCTCTTCTCTCTTCACAGAAAGCACTTGAATCTTCAAGTCAATTGCTCATGATCATGACTAAATTCAGAAGTCACTCTGCTCCCAAGTCTTCTTGGACTAGTTTGTGAAGGGGAAGAGAGCCAATAGCCCTCTGAAGACACTTTCCTGCTATAGCTCAGCTCCGTCACTTAGTTGATTATCTGCCTGCTTCTTGATGAAGATGCTGAGACATGATTTCCATGAGAGCAGGGGCTGGGTTTTAGTGATGGCTGCCCTGCACCCAGTAGGTCCCCTCAGCTGGCACACTGTGAAATGGAAACGTAAATTAGCCACAGGTGGCTGGTAGATGCCCTATTGGACAATGTGGCTCTTGAGGTGACAAAACGATGTAAAATCATATTCAATCTAGTTCCTGAAATCCCAGCAATGAACACCTTCCAACAACATCTTCTCAGATACTTCTTTATTTCTTTTTTTATATTATTTCTTCCTATACAGAAGATGCTCAGTAAATATTCGGCAATTGACTTTGGATTTATCTAGTTTTGTTGCCTCCAAATTGCAAGGCACGTAATCATGGATTCATTCAAAGATTTATTGCTTATGTCATGTTTGTGCTCTCAAATTAATGTTTTAGAACTGTTTGAAGCCACTTAAACACTGTATATAAGGCAACACTATATTTTCTCTATGACCTTGACAAGACATGAGCAAATTTTGACCTGTGGTAAATAAGAATTATGGGGGGTAGCCAGGCTATTGTTGTGTGTCCTGCAAGGCATCTTTAAGCTTTAAGAAAAAGTATGTAAGAGAAATGAACCTCAAAAACTGCCTAAAGAACTTCTCTGTGGTTATACAAAATTTTCAAACTGCCCTGCTTTATACCAGGGTCCGTTCAAATAGAGGATGGGTCTCAATTTTCAAAATGAACATGCACTTTCATCTAATACTTAAAGCAAGGTAGAGTCTGGCCCTTGGCTGGCCTTCATTAATATGTCTCTATACAAGTGATTAAACTTGGATTAGAGAGAGGCTACACCACCCAACTTTTAAACATTTTAGTTTAAATATGCCTAGTATCCTAACTAGCCAAATCCATACTGTCCCTGAACAATTATGGGCACTGCTTGAACGTGCACTCCTAAGGAGATTTTTTGCAAAGCTCTTTCTCTATGTGGCCTCTGGAGATGCAACTCTAGTCTAATTTTTCACAAGAAAACCTCCTGGGACTAGACAAGGGCCTCTACTTCTCAGTAACAGGCTAGGTGCTAGGAGGCTACACAACAGAGGCACCCAAGCTCTCCACGGCCGGGCTCAGGACTGCCCTCATTGACCCTAGCAATGGTCATTCCTGAGGCTGTGATCACCTGGCCCTGGCCCTGACCTTGTCTGGGATTCCCAGACTAAGCAGGTAGCTCAAGGTGCTCTGTTCCTTTGTGTTAGGTTTGAGGAAGTGTGCATCAGGTTCCAGCACTCCTGGCAGGATATGGGCAGTCTCCACCAAATGGCAGGGCATCGAGTGCAGGGTCAAGTGCACTGCTACAGAAGGAGGGTGCCAGAGGATGGAAGCCTGGGAGTAACTTGCTGCTTTTTATGATCTCCACCTCAAATGATTGATAATCACCAGGAAGGTATGGAGGGGTACAAAAGTGGAGAGGATAGTTGGGTTAGGGATGTGAAAGAATTTGGATCAAGCCAAGACTGGGGCTCCAGGCATAACCGCGAAGGAAGTCTCTAATTAGGAGTTTGGTAGCATACAGGAGAGCTCTGAAAATTTAAGTTGTAAATCAGGGCAAAAACACAGGCATCACCTACCCCAGAGATGGGCCCATCCTCACCTCCCTCACCCAATTCATACATCACAAATGGACCCCAAGATTCTTTCCCACTAAGCCGGAAGGCGCCTCATAGCACACAAAACAGCTGCCAAGTAACAAACATGAGTTGCTTAACATTTGCAAACCAATAAAAGTTCCTGAACTTTCTTGAACTGCGTGAATCCCCTTATCATATGAAAGAGGGATACTTAATAGGAACTCATCTAATCCTCACAACAATTCCATGAGAAGGGATGTTCTTAGCCCCATGTGAGAGAGAAGGAGGCAGCAGGACACAGCGGTCAGTACAGGCCCCAGCTAACAAGGGCGGGGTGGTGGGGGTGAGGCTGGACTCCCGACCCTGCTCCAGAACCTTGGTCCTCACCACACTGCGCCAACACTGACTCTGCCATGGATGAGAATGTGGCTTTAGGTTTATCACAGAACACATAAGCAAGAGTTTTTCAGAATATTGTAGTTGTAGATTCATGAAACGCCAACATTTATAGGATATTAAAACCATTCAAGAGACAGTGAAGTTCAAGGTGTAATCACTTCTGTCAGCAAGCCAAACTGGAGTGTAAGAGCTTTCAGAAAAAGTTTCAGAAATGTGGCTTACAGGGCAATGGTTTATGGTCAACTCCCTTTTGATCTCTCATGTGAAAAATATGTACTTACATATACTTCAGGAAACCTCACCACTTCCTTCCTAAGTGTCGGTCAAGAACACTAATTACTTGACTAATTAGACTGTGAAACTTCCCTTACAGATGGTAAAAATGAGCTATTTTCACCCCACAAATTTAGTTGTGACATACCACCAAAAATATGTAGAAATGTTTCAATGGTTTTATTGTAGACAGCATGAACAATTTAAGCAAATCATATAAAAATAAATTAGAAACTCTGCACATAGGTCTATCCTTTCATAGAAAAGGGGGCAATCACTCGGTCCTGTGGGAGTAAAGAACTAACGGAAGAAGACGCCGGCCCACAAGGGAACCACTCTCCACAGGAGTGCAGGCTGAGCCCTGATACCTCCATGATGGGGGACATCCCAAATGAAAGAGCAGGCCTCTCTTAATTCGTGAGTTTCAGGCTCTTTTCATCCTACCTGTGTCAGAGGCTGAGGCAGCTTGCCTCCTCTGTTTCCTTTCACATGTCCCCAAGCTCATGAGAGAAGCCGAGATTTCACAGCGCTTCAGCACACCTGCTGAACAAATGGAACCGAACATCTGGTACCTCAGCTCAGGGAAGGAAGTGCCTTTGACTGGTGTGTGCTGACGCCTACAAGAAGAGCCACTGAGCTTTGGGTTCTGCTGAGAGAAGCTGAGACACCGCGAGACACTCACCAGCATCGAGGCTGCCAGTAACCGCTGTCCAGCCCATGACAGGTGGGATGGCCCCCACGACCGCTCCTACCCATGTGTTGGCAATGCTCATCCTCTTCAGTGGGGTATAACAGCAGGTATACAGGAAGATGTTGAAGGCCCCTAGGGCGCCCGTGAGTGGGTTCACCCCCCAGGTTAGAAGGGCGATTCCTGGAACAGCACAGCAAGTGGCAAAGGACACTGCCAGCAGCGGGCTGGAAAAGGACAGAAAACACTGCCATCATTTTCAACTCACGCTAATGAGGCGGTGCAGTCAGCTCCACTGAAGTGCAGATCACCTAGCTCCAGAGCGACCTGGGAGGCAGTACTGGTTGGCTGCTTCCCTGTACAGAACTGTACATCCTCTGTACAGAACTGACAATAAGGAGGCACTGTGTTTGCAGGAGCTCTGGCTACCCTCCTGATTATGCTACTGGGAGTAAAGAAGTTAAGGGAGGAAGGTTGGAGTGCTCTGGATCCAAACACAGGCTCTGGCCTTGCTTGCCTGTGGGACACCTGGGGCTGAAGTGAGGACTACTGGACACAGCGCCTGCTCTACAGGGTTCTGTCTTGAGTTACTGCAAAGGAAGTGATAGTTATGGACAAACCATTCACGACATAATACTGTAAGATTTGGGCGAAAAATAATATCTTAATTCTGGAAGCAGTTCTATCCATTTATTTATACTTTATTTAAAAACATGCCCTAATTAGCAATAATGGATAAGCATGGTGAGCCTGAGTATATCTTTCTGTAATAAATTACAGACCCAGCATGTGCCAGTTCCGTGCCAACAGTAAAACCACAGGGGCCGCTCCGTAGTGACAGCACACGGCCAGTTCAGTGTCGGCGCCACAGCTGGGTTTCTGGCCTTGGGACATTCCAAGAGGAGGTCTTACAATGTAAAGGAAACTTGTTGAATAAATGTCTACAATGGTAATGATGATGATAAGCTTGATTCTCAAGGAGCTCACTTTTTAAAGCAGACTTTGTGTGAAATCTTAGGAAAGACTTCGTGAAGGCATAAATTGGATCCACTAGTTCTTGCTGAATGTGCCTGTAATTTATTTATTTGATCTTAAGAAACCTATGGAGTTTACAAGCCTGCCTTTCTACAAAGGCCACAATCTGCCTCTGAGGGAACTGTGTGGAGTGTCCACCAATCACAGCTTCCACAGAGCGCCCAGTGGAAGCAGGGTCACAGGTGTGCAGCTGTTAGGGTGCCGGGTGTGAGCAATGGCCAGTTTCCCAAGGGAGGCCCTCATTACCTTGCACACAGGTAAGAGAACACCCTTCTGTGCACAGGGCTGCAGTGATCCATGGCAGGAGGAAAGCCCTGTGTCGAAGAGACCAACCATTTAGGAAAAAGCCTAACCTGTAGAAATTATGACAAGTTAGAACTCATCCATGAATGGAAGGTAGGGAGGCCAGGGAAGAGAAGAGTTTATCAAATAAAAATAACAAGTGAAGTTAGGGTGATGCAGCATTAAAGCTAGAAGTGACTTGTTGGAAAATTGCACCTCTTACTCTAGAATGGTGACCAGCACTTCCAGCCCAGATGCTGGGCCCCAACAGCATGGGAGTTTTGATGGAAAAAGAGAACATACAAGGGATAGACTGCTGTCACAGTGCTTGTGACAAAACCATGAGCCACATCTGAGGGACCTCTCAGTGGATATTCACCCCACGGGAGTCTCCATCCCTTACTCTTGGCTGCCTCTTCTGAATCCTGTGGTCAAGTTTTCTACCACACTTACTCTGCTACCTTACTCTTGATTCTGCCTTGTCCTCACATCATTTCTGCCCTGGTGATTTCCAATTCTGATTCTGCTCAATCACCTACTGTCTCTGCTCCTGCTGGAGAAAGCGCTATAATCACACTAACTGGCCTTCGGTCAAGAGGCCACATTAGCAGAGCTGGTACTCAGCCGGATTGATTTCCATTCCAATTCCTTATGGTGACTGTCTTAGCTCCTCGGCCACCTTCTCAGGACTTCAGATTTACTCTAGTCCCCAACATCCTCAACAAATATCCTTTCTTCCTAAATTCAATGACAACTGTCCTCATCTTCACTTCCTTACCTTTCCTCTCATCTGGGGCAAAGAGGAAATCTTTCTACTTTTGCTCTTATTTAATCTCATTCCCAATCTATTATCTTCTATCTCCTTTATCTTCTATTTGACCCCCACTGTATCCTCAATTCACTTACTTTGTTCGGATTTTCCCCAAGGTTCTTGTTATACCCCCCTTCAAACCCAAACATCCAGAGAAAACACTACACAGGTTGTCTTCATCCCTCAGTTTCCTGCCTCCAACACCAACTAAAACAGAAATCTGGAGGGTAGTGACAGTACCATGTGACCCGGGGCCACTTAGCTTCCCAACGCAGCAGACACTATGAAAGACTGGGATGATGCCCTAGTGTTATTGTATCTCACATGTGTCCAGAAAGGAAAATTGCTAAAATGCACTGCAACTATTACATCTGTTGTTCTTTCAATAAGGTAGTTTATAGCTTATAAAAACAGACTTTTTTTCCTATGGGACTCTAAAAAGCGAGTTTTATTTTGGGTGGGAGAAAAAATGGGGCTCATAAACATTTTTATTTTTCCTGAATTGGACCTTGTGTAAAAAAAAAAGGGAGGGGTGAGGGTTGTGTTCACTCCTCCAAGGTCTGTGGAAGCCAGCTGGATTCAAAGGTATTAGTGTTATGAAAAGTCCTTTTAGAAAAGCACACATGAATTTAATTTACTGAGATAGGCAATTTTATGAGGAAGTTTACTTTCTGACCCTTGTTGGAATCACAGAAAATCATGAGATTCCATTTTGGCGTTTAAATCAGTGTGCTCAGTGGCACAAATGAAAACTGGGTAGGCTGACAAGGAATGTAAACAGAAAAGAGGATATTTACCCAGGTAGCCATGATCACTCTCAGCACCTGGGTCCATCCAGGACTCCGTTCCCCTCCTGGCATGAGAAGCCCTGAATTGGCGACCTTCAGGGCTTTCGCCTACTATGGGCAACACTGCTCCCACTGAGGACTCTGTGAGGCTTATTTTGCTGCGTTGCTTTGCTTTTCCTAAAACATATATTGGAAAAGTATTATATGTTCATTTCAGAAAATTTGGAACTACAAAAAAAAATCACAAAGAAATTCTCTATCAGTTCCAATGAGATGTCTTTTCCAATGATAGAGCTATTAAAAAAACCCGGCAGGATCATAATAAATTGTGGTTTTGTTTACTTCAAAATATTAATAATTTTCCTATGTAATTAAGAATTCTTTTACATCATTAGTACATACACAGTAGCCTATTTGTGGATATATCACAATTAATGCAATCAAAGTACCTTTTTTGGATATTTAGTACTTTTTTTTTTGTTAATTAGAAATTACCTTGGGATGAATATCTTATAGGCAGACTATTATTCACAGTTCTGATTAGCATAATTCCTAGATGTGAGACTGCTAGGCCAGATGATATGTACATTTTTAGGGGTTTTAATAGGTACCACAGGTTTAGACTCCAGAGAGTTGATACTAGTTTACACTTCCACCAGCAGTTATCTGAAAAAGCCTATTTCTAGAACCCACGTAAACTCTGGGTATGCTATTAAAAACAAAGCAAGGCAAAAATTAACAAAGCAAAACAAGTTTATTGAGATACAGTGTTATCCCCACCTTATAAATGAGAAATTGTGACTCAACACAAGCAAAATAACTTGGAAACAGGATCTGCACTCAGGTTCATTCATTAATCCAAACTCCCAGCTGGTTTGTGGGAATATGGTGTAATATGACTTATTGATCCAATTATTTCTTGGGCCTGCTGCAGGGCCTGGAGTGGGTGGAGTCTATAGGCTGTTCACCTTTAGCTGGGACTAGCCTCTTGTGGGTATCAAAGCTCCTTAAGTTTACCCCACTGAAAAAGTAGCCTAACTTTTCTATTGCTTTCCCTGAGATGAGAATGATTGAGAAGCCCCTGTCCCAATTTTATTTTATTTTTTTAAAGGACAGACCTTGGATATAATGTGGTCAGCAAGATGGAAACAGTCTTTGTCCTGGGGGCACTTTCCAGAATAAGAGACAGCTCTGGAGTGTGGTACACAGAGGAAATACAGGGCAGTCTGGGAGCAACAATCCAGGTGTGGGATGTTGCGGAGTGGACAGGGAGTTCCTAGGAAGAAGTGATGTATTGGGCGGTGGGGGCAGCAAGTGAGAAAGCCGAAAGTGAGAAAGTATGGCAGGTGCCACAAACCTGGAGGACAGGTGGGGATAAGAACTGTTGGGAGAGCAGAGAGGTCAGGAAGGCCACTTTAAGATTCTGAAAGCTGCCTCTGAGCAAATGCAGAGTCAAGGGAGTTTTTTAAATAAGGAAAGAACCTGCTCAGATGTGCTTTTCAGAAGGGCTGTTCTGCCTGCCACAATGCCCATCAAGACAGGCATTTCTTCACCACACAAGTGAGTCCCATTAGGCATTCTCGGAAAAAGAACTGAGAGTATGCCACCACACAATTTTATCAAATGCTCAGTTGAAAATAACAACATTCAGCCAGCACGTATCTTGAATCTACCTTCCAGATACCCCGACATATATTGGTAGAGCATATAGCTCAGCGGAGAACAGTGCTGCCCTTTCAGGGAGTGGCTCTGTGGTCCCTTGACAAGAAGGGGACCTTGCTTTGCACTGTCAGCTCAAGTATTCTGGGCTCAAATTTGTCTCCCCTGAGTCTTTTTTTTTTTTTTAAATAGAAATTTCTCACATTTTACACACCTATGTCAATTAATGGAATCTTTGAAATAAAAGGCAGAGTAAAAGGATAAACAAAGAGTAACTAAAGGATTTAGGCTAAAATTTTGTAGATAAGATATAGCTTAAAAAATGGACTATTTTTGAAACTGCAAGTAGGGAAAAAAACTAGCAAAAATAATGGTTCTGGGATAAAGAGAAATCAAGTGGTATTTGAGTTTTTTTTTTTAAATTTTGATTTGTCATGAAATCTTTAAATATCATGATGGATATTAAAGTCAAGTTTAGCTACTTTAGTAGAGATTTTTGATTCAGATAACTGTTCATTTCTCATCTCATTTAAACACAACTGTGCTTATCTGCTTTAGCACCCATAAAATGTGATCAGAGCTAAATCTGAAAGACCTAAAGGGCAACTTTGTCAGACTGATTTCCTGTTACTTTAGGTCAATTACTCAACAT